TCAAGAGTTATAACTTTTTGAATTTTTGCCACATGTGGAAACAATTTTTTCGAAATTTCAAAACATCATAACTCTTGAACGGTTGCACATTTTTAGACGAAATTTAAAATCTGTCGATGAAATTCAGTATAGCTTCCTATGAAATTCTAAAATCCAAGATAATACTAACAGTAAAAAATCCTAGGAGGGGAGATCAGGAAAATGCTAATTTTTTTTTTAATAAAATTCCATCATTTGGACTCAAAAGTCAAGATTCAGCATACTGAAAAATCCTGGATACGTCACTGCCTTAGTGACCTCATTAGGATGACAATTCTAATATAGGTGTGTGCACTGAAGTTTCTTCTATGTCATAGAGAAAACTGTACGTTATAAAGTATGGTGGGCCTGAAAGAGTTAAGGTTCATCATATGCGGATGACATATGAATATGAAAAAGATAGAAGTAAATTTTTGGTTCGTTGGTAACTATGACCTTTTGAAAAGTCCAATTTATCGAATCATTTGCACTTTCATGCTTGTAAGCGAATCAAATCATAGTTACAATACAAAGAAAAAATTGATCGAAATAACAACCCAGTGGGTGACGGAAGTGAATCTCTTACTTTCTATATATATAAAATTGCCATTAATTGATCAGAGAACAGTTCGAATCCATTTTTTGAAGGATTAGAATTCTGATCCAATTTATTAGATAGTGTTCGATAGAATCCTATGATTATGTTTTGTTTATAATGGTTTTTTTTTCTAGTTGTACCTGTTCAAACATTGGGTAGTAAACGATTCAAACTTGGTGCTACAACATCATTTTTAACACGTTCACTTGCTAATCATGGTCTAATGGAATGAATTGTTTTCTTTCTCTTGTTTCTTGTTAATTCATAGTCTATTTATATTTAAATAATGTTTAATTCTAATTTTTTTTTGTCATAAAATAAAAACCAAGAGATGTGTTTTGTAGATAATAATATTCGATTTGGTTAAAAAATAGAATTTGAATACTCAATGTTGAATTTTATTATCAAATGGATATGTTTTCAAGTTGGATAAACCATCAATTGTTTTGTTTTATTTTTATTTTAATAATTACATTAGAAAACCTATTAGTACAATTCTTATATGTAACACAATTAAGGTGCATCGTACTGTAAACGAGAGACTTAGCAACATGTCTTAAGGTATTTCCTTTGTTATGCATTCTAAGTATGTAACTGTGATGAAAGAAAATATTAATTATAAAATGCTTGTGAATCGTAGTTTTAGTTTATATAAACTTAATCATAGTGTAAGGACCAAAAATACTCAAAAACTTCGGCTACTCTTGACTATTGCTGAGCGGTAGTTGACGTTTTCGAGCTGTTGTTCGCGAACTGTCTATCAAGTTTAAGAAGACAGATTTACTCTTTCACTTTCTGCAGACAAACTCTATCCCACATTTTGAAAACTATCGAAAAATTCTGGATATAGAATGAAACGTTCATCATCTCACAGAACGTAATAGACGAAGAAAGACATTAGAGTGAGATTATTTTATTGCCTGTAGAACTCAATTGAGTTTTACTATAAGCGTGTAATAGATATTGGAGACAAAATTGAAATTTGATCAAATTTCGAATTCACTCGGGCGGAATCGAAATAATTTAATAATCAGTCACATCTACGATTGTACAGGCAATTGCGGTACAAAAACAATGCTCGTGTAAAAAAAAAATATATGAGAGTTTTCTGTCTGACAAAATGTCACTTCGAGCAAGGTGGTTGTATAAATATGGGTGAATAGACTATAGTTTTGTTTGATAAATATGAAGACATTTTATACCTGTTTAACAAAAAAATGTTGATTGCTTGTTTATTTCAAATATGATTGAATAATGATGAAAATATCCGAATCGTCTTTGTATTATTAGTTATAGTCATTTTTTTTTCTATATCAAATGTTTATTGACATAATGAATACATCCAGTCGTTTCTTTTTCTCTGTTCTCTTATCAAAACTATGTAAATCAAATGATAAGCGAATCATTTTTCTTTTGGGTAGGCCGCGCATTGATAACTAAAAGAGTCGGCTTTCTATTTTCATTTTTCTCTATCGAACATACTATGTCGTCCTCGACTGATACGTATCGTATCACAATCATTGGTGCAGGTATTATTGGTGTAACAACAGCATGCACTATATTGAAAGAATATGCAGGAAATGAAAATCTTCAATTAACGATTGTTAGTGAAAAATTTACACCTGAAACAACTGGTGATACTTCAGCTGGATATTGGGAACCTTATGGATTTGCAAATATCGATGAACGAATACTTCGTTGGGCTGGTTATACACATGATATATTTCTTAGTGAATTTTTTTCAACAAAAGCTGCTCGTGCTGGTCTTATGAAAGTTGAATCATATAGATTACAAGGTTTTAATGGTCCAAATAAAGATAATGATAAAATTATTGAAAAACCTAAATATTCAAAATTAGTTCGACATTTTCGATTATTAGATCAACATGAACTTGGTATGTTTGATCATTTAAAACCAACATCAGGTTATGTAATGTCATCAGTTGCTATTGAAGTTAGTAAATATTTACCACAATTATTACGTTTTCTTTCAGAAGATAATCGAGTTAAATTTATAAAAAAGAAAATTCATTCATTAATTGAATTAAAAGATAAAGCTGATGTTGTTATTAATTGTACAGGTTTAGCTTCGAGATATTTAGTTGGTGATCAAACAATTCGACCTGCACGTGGACAAGTAAATTTAACTAAATGATTCTTTTTTTATGGTTATTTTTCTTTTGTTTCTATCTAGGTTATTCGTGTTTATGCACCATGGATTAAATCAGTTTATGAATTTGATACTGACGAAGGTTTTGGATATATTGTTCCACAATTGGATACTGTTGTTTTAGGTGGAACATTTCAATTAAATGATTGGAATACGAAAATAGATGAAAATGATACTAAAAAAATTCTTCGTATTTGTTCGAAAGCATTTCCTGCTCTTAAACAAATTCGTCATGGGAAAGTACAAGTTGGTCTAAGACCTTATCGAGATGATGGTGTACGTCTTGAACATGAAAAAACGGCTGATGGTATCAATGTCGTACATTGTTATGGTCATTCTGGTGCAGGTATAACACTTTCATGGGGTTGTGCAAAAGATATTGTAAACATAGTTAAAACTTTATTACCACCTAATTCAAAACAGCAAGATAATTTACCCGAACATGAACAATTATGGCGTCTTGTACCAAATATTGAATATGTTATATTACGCGCTAAACTTTAAGAAAAAAATTTAAAAACAAAATTGAAATATAATGTTGATTAAAAGTTTCTTTTGATTTTAGATAATAGTTTTTTACATGTATTTTTTTTCTTCTTGTTTTCAGAAATTTCTTTGATGAATCAAATAATATACTCTACTCGACAATTATTTGCTAAGCATTTTCATTTCAAACAATATTTAATATATCGATTTAGTTATAAAAATTTATTAAATCATCGGTTAGTGTATCAATTGTTCAATAGACATCGATGAGAGATCATTCAATACGCTTACATTAATTGAATATAAAATCATATGAATTAATTGATTTAAGCTTTAGTCGTCATATTATGACGATCATCAATTAAGCAAAAACTAGTTGTAAAAGCAAGAATTCTGATCATTAAATTTAAGATCAAATTAGATAAATAATACTGCGAAAGTTCAATATGGACAACTTTCAAAAGGAAAAAAAAACCGAAGATAGTAATCTTGTAGCGCTTGAAAAGATCTATCTTATAATCAGGGTAGTAAAATTCCTGTATCAATAGCTGTTATGCAAAATGCATTATTTCTTTTTCCAGACATTTTGAATCAACGGTTTTCGACAAGAAAAGACAAACAATATAACTCAATTTTATTTCAAATCCAAAAGAAATGTATTGTGGTACATCATACTGAAATGTTAAAATGAGAATAGAACTCATATCATGCAAGACAAGTGAAGTTTCACATGTTTTTGGCGTATGAGGAAAGTTCACAATTGATTAGTCGCTTTGGAGATCGAACTATGTGCACCATATAGATCCTAATGAGTTATGAACATTCTGAAAAATTTTAGGCTCTTACGAGGGAAGGTCCCCAACTGTCCAATCGCTTTTGAGTTCGGACCCTGTGCATAAGGTAAACTCCAGTGAAGTATGAAGAACTCCAAAAGGATAACGGCCCTTAGGCCTTCTGTTCAGAGTTACAGGGATTTTACTGGAATTACAGCCTATGGCATGGAATTTACCAAAATATCGAATGACGATATTTCGGGTTGAGATTTTGCCCATAGACAGGTCTAGTTGTGAGTAGAATGCCCCGAAAATTTTAGCTCAAAAGAATGTTTCCTTCCCGAGATATTAAAATCTCAAAAATCACTCATATTTCACGAAAGGTGCTAGAATTTTCTGTTTTTTT